TAATATCTTATTTCCAGATTACTCACATCATTTAAGTCATGTTGAAAGTCAAGGTCAATGTGTATTTTTCAAACCCAGGCATTATGTGTGATTTAATTCTGTAATTCTGCACAAATAGTTTCAGAAAAAATATTCAGTTTATTCAGATAGTTCAGCATAGGAACTTGAATCATATACAAATAAGGGCAAAATATATTTCTCTAGGTAACACTTTATTTTAGTCTACCATTTTATATAATGTACCTACCTCATTAAAGGTGCACTGTAACTTTTCTGGTGGGAGGTCTCCATGGAGCATTCCGTTGCCTGAATGTCCCACTGTATGGCATTAAATGAACTGTATATAGCCTACAATCTCATCAATCTTATTGTTTTAAAAATTGTATTACAGTCACATCTGAACATGTGTTGCCAGTGCCTAAACCTGCAGATGGAGGGCACATACAAGTTTATGTCATTCTCAGTACAAGAACAAGGTTTTTGTTATCAAGAATAAATAAGCATTAAAAATATGAAAAAGTTATATTTGATCTGAAATAGTTTACCTCGTATCTGGGGATAAAGGTTATATTTATGGACTTTAAAATTAATATCTTACATACAATTAAACTGATCTCCATTGCATTTATTTAAACTCCTGCTGGTTCGCTGCCCCCTGCTGGTTTCTGGACTCTGCGCACCACCACTCTGGTCCTCCTGCCCCTCCTGTAGCCTGGGTCGGTTCCGGGGAGCAGGGCCTCTCCTCCAGTCGTCTGTCCCTGGGAGGATGGGTCTCCTCTGGGGGACGAAGAGGGTTTTCGACCCTTCTTCACCTCATCCACAAAACCCTCCACAGAATGAAACTTGGACGTGAGATCAACCAGCCGGTCCTTCAGAGCGTTGAACTCTTTATACAGGTCTCCCAGAGCGTCAGACAGAGGCTGAATACTGAGGGGAAAAAAACATTTTAATTTAACTAAATTACTAAAACTGGCATTGTTTTTAAAATACAAACAGAGATGGGGAGCTGAGTATTGTCCAGCAAAATAATATTACTCAAGTAAAATTACAAAATAGTGGTCCAAGAAAGTACCCATAAGTTTTTCTCGTTCTCAGTGTGTAGACCGGTCATGCTTCATGTGAAAGCTCAGAACCTCCAGACTTCCCTCAATGAGCTGCAAAGGCTGCACTAGCACTGATTCATGATATCTGTAGTGCTGGGGTTTAGGAAGTGACCATTCACATCAGAGAGGCATTTTAGGTTTAAACCAACTGGATTTCAGGATTGAAACTGGCAACCCAAATGAGAAACTGTGACATGTGAGGCTCATTCTGTGTTCTGATTGGATAATTGTCTTAAGAACAAAACCACCAAATATAACAAACAACTTGCCATCATGTCCAATGTTTTGTTGTTTTTTTTAACCAAAGATAAATCACATTTACAGTTGCTATAGTAAAAGTTATATTGGATTTGAACATGTCTATCTTGTGTCTCATTTACTCATGTATGAAATTTGATATGAAAACTCCACATACCCTCTTTTAACAATCCCATCCATTCAAATATAAACATAATTTAGGCTAAAACCCCATCAAATTCTAAGCTAGTTCACACTTCACACAGTTTTGTCCCTGTCCTCTTACCGTCCGTAGTCGGGCAGAACAGTGCGGTGGTCGTTGAGCAGTAAATCTTTCACTTGAGTCACGATGGCGTATTTCCAGTTGTCCAAAACCACAGAGAGGTTTGCACAGCCTCGACTTCCCAGTGCTGCACACAGAACAAAATACATTTAATATTTAGTGATCACATAAAACGCAATACATTATAGATGTAAAATAAATATAAAATCAGAAGAAACATTGTTTAATCTGGTTACTGGTTATTAAAGCTTGTCTACTTTTGTTGCATATTTGTTGTCAAAAGCCTACACACATGCCACTGAAAGAAGAAATGTCTTAAGGAAAACAATCAAAAACAACAAAACAACATTTGATAAACATTCTACAAATAATTAGTAGTTTAAATTTGGGTTCCTGTTGGTGTGTACAATAAAAAATGTTACAGTATGTATAATCATAAATATAAGAACAGTAGATGAACTAAAATTACTGAATTAGAAGAACATCATAGATATTTAAACTATTTAAATAAAAAAGGGGTGTTTTGAGCATATAAAATCAGGCTAATTTAAACTTCTAAGACTGTGAATTTGTTCAGACAGTGAATTTTTTGTCTGTCACTTATTTTGTAGTTTTTTGTAATGCATCATTTGTCTTGCAAGTCCAGAATATTAACTCTGTATTTTTTTCTCTTTTTTTCTACAGAGGGAAACCACATCTTTGAAATGTTTTTGAAGTATTGGAGAAAATTGTAAAATTGTAAATCCCAGGCAAATGCAATCAAAAATTAATGCACCAAACTTTTTACTCATTTAGATTCAAGTTAAAGGTGCATTGTGTAACTTTTCTGGTGAAGGGTCTGTCAAAAATGTTTCTCTGTTAAGATGTTATTGCTTTGTCTGGAATGTTTCACAGTATGGCATTAAACCTTTTTATCTTCATGGAGACCAAACGAGACCAAGTTACAGGTCAGATCTGTGGAGATACAACCCCGCTTATGGTCAAAATCCCTATTTTTCAAGGTATTTTTGAGCTATAAAACTACCTGTAATTGAATAAATGTAAGGTAGAGCTGTTTAATGTCATATTGTGGAACATTTAGAGCTGTGACATATTGAAACAAAACAAGCAGGTGATGGATCCCCTCTAAGAAAAATGTAGAAAAAAAAAAAAAACTCTTAAAAACAAGGTTGTTAAACTACAACGTGAAAACAAACGTCACTCATAATAATAATTTATGAAGAAAAAAAAACTCACACGTTGCCTTTTTGACTGACCTTCATTGCGTTGGTCCAGCGCTGGTTTGACAAACTTATTTTCTCTTTGAGCTGAAGTGAAAACCATAAATAAAAACAAAATTAAAAGTTCCAGCGTCTTCATCTTTAGTGGTGTATTTCCAGGAGGGTCCACAGGCTGCAGCTGCTTCACATTGGACTCAAACAGACCACAGGGTTTTGGGAGGGTCTTTGGTTTCTCCTCCCATGAAAAAAAGACAAAATATGCAAGTAAAATAGTAGAACATCGTAATAGCAAGGCCTTTACGAATAATACTGCTGTATCACTGAGGCAACATCATTTGGTTTTCATTTCATCACCGTGAAACATTTTGTATTAAAGGACCCAATTTTTGTTGTTTCTTCATGAAAAACAGACCTGGAGTTGTCTTTTCTTTCATTCTCACATATTTCACACACAAACCCTGCAAATATAGGTTACGTTCTTCTCTCAAACAGCAAACACTCCTTGTTCCACCTTATGATGTCATGTGGTAATACATGACAGCGCTCCATTGTGTTTTTAAACCCGATACACCTTCACTAGAATCATTTGGATAATTTCAGACCAATCTCTACTGAACAAAATGTAAAATGCAGCTACTAACTTGAAAACTATCACTTCATGACATCACAAAGTGCAACTGAGCATTTTGAGCTTTGGAGATGTAGACACAAGAGTCAATTTTGTGCAATATAGGACCTTTAAATAGCAGCTTTTTGCACTTTTTTTCCTCATCTATTATTATTTTTTGTGCCATTTTTGTGAGTTTGTTACCTGCCAGTTGGATGTATAAATGTATATATTTGATAACTTGAAAACAATAAAAACATTTTCATTAAATAGCAGCTTTTGAGTCTGAATAAAATTATTACTTAAAATGTTAAAAAATAATGGAAAATCTATTGGTAAAGATTCATACAGATTCATTTTACATTATAGGTTTCAGTCATGTAAAAAAAACAAAAACTGAAACCTGTACTATGTAACTTTTTGGTTGTCGGTCCGTCACCTGCTTTTTTCTATGGATATGTCAATGCTGGAATGTCTGGAATGTTCCACAGTGTGACATTAAACAGCTCTACTTTACATTTATTAAATTAAATGTGGTTTTATAGCTCAAAAATGCTAGAAAAGCAGACATTCTGACTGTGAGCGGGGTCGCCTCTCCACAGATCTGACCTGTAACTTGGTCTGGTTTGGTCTCCATGAAGATAGAACGGTTTAATGCCATACTGTGAAACATTCCAGACAAAGCAATAGCATCATGGAGAAAAGTATTTGACAGACCCTGCACCAGAAAAGTTACGCAAAGCACTTTTAAATGAACTGATGCCAACGAATAACATTAAAAAACAATTATAACTTAAGAGCAGGGTTTTTTCAAAGCGTAAGAACTAGGTAAAGTATTTTCTTGAAACCAGATCACCTTTAAATTCATGTTCATAAATCACTCCGCCTAAGCGCTCAGTGTGATACAAACCAGGCCTAAAGACTTAAAACCACTGACCTCATTCTGTGATATTCAAAAACCATGAATCAAAGACCACCAGTTTAAGCAACGAGCACCCCCTCACCGTAAATCTGTTATCGTCTTTATCTTTTAATTTATGTGTCTAGGTACCAAAAAAATGCAGGTCTGGTCATTCTTCAAAGATTAAATAAAATGGGGACTTTGCCGATTAATGAAAAAGTGCAATATATTGAACCACGTTGATCTCTTTGAATATGAAGTCAAGAAAATGTAATATAACAAGAGTTTGTATTATGAGATGGTTCTTTATATATTGATTAAATTATGCTTTTAAAATTAAATTAGAGGGTTAGAGATAAAGTAGAGGGGAAAAAATCTTATTAGACTCTAATGTGGATTTTATCATGATGTATGCAAAGTTTGAAGCCTTGTATTACCTTTTTAGAGATAACTAAGGCTTTTTTCTTCTTTTTGATTCACACTTCACTCTGATTGGTTAAATCAGCCTGTCAATCAAGAGGCTGACCGATAGGAGGAGAGAAGGGGAGAATGGATTAAGCATAAAAAAGCATAATTACAATAAAAACATCCTATTAGTCACAATATTCATCATATTTCCCAGCCTTAATAAAGCAGTCATAGCCCTGTGTGGTAGGAATAGTTTATTATTATTTTATTTAGTTTAAATCCATGTGAACAGCGCCCCCTTGTGGAGCTCCAGTCGCTGAAGAGGAGGAGCAGTGTTTGCTCAGCAAACGTCCAGATCATTACAAAAGGAAAAGCTGTCCATGACATCAGAGAAACGCTCGCAATTCACACCAAAAACTGGGCAAAAAAACAACCAAATTCAGCTACAACTAAAATCTGTCCTCCTCACTTTGTCAATGGAATAACAGCTAAAAGAACCGCACGCCTCTTACACAGATCGGTCTGAGCGAGGCGCCCCTCTCCCCAAAACACAACAGCCCCAGAGTCAAACTGTTCAAACGCAAAACTTCACTTAAGGGCAGTGTCCGATACTATGGGCTGGGTGCAAACAGCTGATTTACTAAGATGGAGTTTAAAGGTGCACTGTGTAACTTTTCTGGTGAAAGATCTGCCCCCTGATAGTCTCCATGGAGAGGTTATTCTTTGGCCTAGAATATTCCACAATATGGCATTAAACCTATCTTTATATTGGTGACGCCGCACGACCAAGTTCCAGGTCAGATCTGTGGAGAGGCGCCCCCACTCACAGTAAGAACGCATGTTTTTCAAGGTATTTTTGTGCAATAAAAACCCTTGCAACTGAGAAAATACAAGATAGTCAGGTTTAAAGCTATACTGCGGAACATTCCAGGCAAAGCCATAACATCTCGACTTCCAGACAAACAAGTGGCATAACCTTCACCAGAAAAGTTACATGATGCAGCAACTAAATGTGTTTTTTGCAGATTGGAACATTTGTGCACTTTATTATTATTATTTTTTTTTTTTAGAGTGTCAGTTGGAAAAGTGATTTATTAATGCGTTTTTATAAAGATGACGTGAACTTTTTAAACCAGTGTAAAATGGCTAAATGTCCGTATGTATTTTAAGTGCTTTGGTTTCCATGGTTTCGGTTTGTGTTAAGGCTTGGACCGTTTGATCGTCTCGCATTTTGACATCATTCTTTATGTACATTTTGGTCCAGACATAAGCGTGATACATTTATTCTGTCATGCTATTGTGACGTTTCTCCAAGTGCTGTGAACGTTAAGTGTTTCTTCTGGTCTCTTCTTCTCAATGTAAAAGTTTTAAAACAAATCATTTTTGTTTTGTCAGTGCAAAAGAAATAAATCTGAATTATGGATTAAGTTGGTTTAGATGGGCTGGACTTGGTTAGAACTTGTGCAGTCCTGGTATTCATGGTTGGCTTGTCTTTATTGCCAAATTTCTTTCAACTATTAAGACTTCTGCATTAATTAAAAGGTCCAATATTACGCAAAATTAACTCTTGTGAGCTTTAAGACATGTTATAATGTTGTTAACTCACCAAAAACATACCTGGAGTTGTGTTTTGTTTCATTCGCATGCATTCATTCATGCTCCATTCCACCTTGTGATGTCATGAAGTGGTAGTTTTCAAGTTAACAGCGAAGTTTTACCTTTAGTTCAGTAGAAATTGGCAACTCCAGAGCTAAAATTATCCAAATGATTCCAGTGAAGGTGTGCAGAGTAGAGCACCTGTATTACTACATGACATCACAAAGTGAAATGGAGTGTTTTCAGTTTGAGAGAAAAACTCAGTCTAAATATGCAGGTTTGTGTGTTAAACATGTGAATGAAACAAAACAACTCCAGGGATGTTTGTGATGAGGAAACAGTATTATAACAGAATCTGTGTATCATTCGTTCATTCGTTTTTTTAAATAAAACCAAAACTAAGAAAATGAAAAAACAACTAATTTTTTCATTATTTGTCTCCAAAACAAAAATGAAAAAAAAAAACAACTGAAAATTATTAGTTTTTTTCAGAATTCTATTTTGCGTTTAAATGAATAATGGAAAAAGCGGATAACGCCCGATTCCCGTTTACGTGACTTAAACTGCGATGCCGGACTGAACCAGGACTGAACCAGGACTAAACCAGGACTGAACGAGAACTGAACCAGGACTGAACGAGAACTGAAGGAGAACTGAACCGGGACTGAAGCGGGAGTGTCGGAGTTGCACACACGTAGACTGTCAGGTGATCAGGACTGAGACTGGGACCAGACCGGGACCAGATCTGGACCAGACCAGGACCAGGACTGAGACAGGGACTGAGACTGGGAGAAGATCAGGACTGAGACCGGAACGGGGACCGAGACTGAGACCAGGACTGAGACCAGGACAGAGGCCGGAACGGAGACCGAGACTGAGACCAGGACTGAGACCAGGACTGAGACCAGGACTGAGACCAGGACTGAGACCAGGACTGAGACCGATTTAGACCTGGTTCAGTCCTGGTTCAGTCTGTCATCACAGTTTAAGTCTCGGAAAATGGACACGGGCGTTATAAATTTTTTTTCCATTATTCATTTAACCACAAAATCAAAAACTGAAAAAACAAATCGTTATCCATTTTTTCATTTTGGTTTTGGAGACAAATAATGAAGAAAATAGTTGTTTTTTCATTTTCTTATTTTTGGTTTTATATTGAAAAACAAATGAACGAATGATACACGGATTGAACAGATCAGAAAACAGCGTAATATGGGCCCTTTAAACAAAAAAATATCAAGATTAAGGCTTGCGAAGTATTAGATAAAGAATCAATAGACTTTAGTTTTGTCAGTATCCCATTCAAAAACAGCAGCTGTACAAAATCGACATCATCATCCCTATTTTTCAAAAGATTTTAAAGACGGCACCCACTCTGTATCCAGATGTGGAGCAGCTGCCGCGTCCTTTGACCTCTCCGCTTTGAACAACGAAATGATGAGAAAAACATGTTTGAATTCGGGGGGAAAAAGAGCTGATAGATAGAAGGGAAGGAGCACCAGTAGTTTAGTCTAAAAGCACCATTTGTCCAGTGTGACGTCTTGTCTAAAGAGGATCAGGCTACATATTTACTTTTGCTATTAATCGTCAAAGCTACAATGCAAGTAGGTGTGAATTATTTTCGAGATAACAGCCACAAAAAAAAATCAAACTGTATTTTTTTTTTGAGCTTTTATCAATTCAGTCAAGAGTAATTTTGTTGCAGAAGAAGAAAAAAACTGAAATACTAAATCTAAATATTTGTTACAATCACTAGCCAGATATCAAAAGAAAAACTATCCTGGTTTGAAAATAGAAAACTGTTCCCTAAAAATTATGTACCATTGCAAGATAGGGCCATTGAGCATTTATTTTATCACCTGCTTTAACGTTTTTATATTTTTGAAAATAAATTATTGTAGGATTTAATTGGGAGAAAAAAGAAGGAGGAGGAAATCCTAACCAAAAAGTGCTTTAAAGTTCTCAACATTAGTAAGTTTTGCACAGTTTGATCCATTATATAATTTATTCAATGTAAACCTGTAATTTTCTGTTTTTTAATGCCTGAAAATGAAAAAACGAGAGGCTCAAAAATGTGAAAACGAGACATTTGCAGGAAAACCATTGCAGCTGCTTCCTGGTGTGTGATGTCACTGCAGGAAGTGGGCGGGGAAAGGGGCTTCAAGGGCCTCAGTGTGGGTTTGGGACGCGTCTTAATTCTCAAAATGTAAACTCCTCGATTCCTTTTGTTTGTAATCTTGTCCAAAGAAAAGAGGGGCAAGTCGTTTCTTAATGGTTCTCACTATGGAGGTCAATAGAAAGTGGAAAATTCTGGTTTTGCAAGTAAAATATTCTTTTGTTTTCCTAAAATAACTTTCAAAATCAAACATTCTGAGTTTAAAGGAGCACTATGTAACTTTTCAGGAGGAAGATCTGTCATCTGCTCGTCTCCGTCTGCTTGGAGATGTTCCACTTTGCTCAGAATGTTTCAGTAAGGCATTAAAACGTATCTATTTCCATGGAGACAAACTGGTTACAGGCCAAGATACAGGTCAGATCTATGGAAAGGCAAGCCCATTCACAATAAAAATACATATTTTTCCGAGATATTTTTTAGCAATAAAAAGATGTATAAATTGAATAATTGCAAGACAGATAAGTTAAATGGTATACTGTGGAACATTCCAGGCAAAGCAATAACATCTCCATGGAGACGAGCAGGTGGCGCATCCTCCACCAGAACATGTACGTAGAGCACCTTCAAGTACGAGAAACTAACAAAGTATGAGGCAACTTATGACCACACTGAAATAATATTATATAATCTAAAAAGTAAAAGAATTTGAACAAAAATAACTTTAAAGTTTCAGATCCACATATTTCGTGAGAGAGCACAAAGCTGATAAACCAAAAATCAAGCTTTCAAACTGTTTAATAGTTAGTCTCAAGTCAATGAAGAAATGAATGAAAATTTTACTTCCAAAACCAGCTCTATTCAAGGGGCAGGTTTAACAGGTGAGGAGCTGGAGAGTTGAGGTTTTGTCAAAATGACCCTTGGCGGTGTGTGTTGGGAGGAGGTGGGGCCTAGCTGTGAGGGGGCGGGGCCTAGCTGCGTGGCAGGCTGCACATTTCGCAGTGCTCGGTGCCCGGCTGGTTCATGAAGGTGCAGTGCAGACAGGACCACATGGAGGAGGCGGAGACTGGTGCCGAGGGACCGCCCATCGCACCATAACCATGAGAACTGGACGGCTGGCCACCCACTGTGCCTACACAAACGGAGTACACTTAGTTATTACTGTCCAACATTTACACAGTATACAACATTCTTATTGTCCCCTAAAGGTCTTTATCGTCTGCATGTGACTCCATCCTTCAATAATGCAGGGAAACCTGTCAGAAGCAGAGTGCTAGGCTCATGGTACTTAGTCTATTTTACAAATTATATGAAGAAAAAAAAAAGTACTTAGAGGAAATCCACCCAGACACAGGTACAGGCAAAAGCAAGTCATAGTAAAGAATATTTCAGCTTATTTTTTTACAGTAGAAACCATTTTAAATTGGATTTACTTTATGGCGAAATACCTAATATTTTCTCTAAAAACTTTCCAGAACCATGTATGGTCAGAGTGGTCTCTTGTTGATAACTGCATGTTTATTCTGTCTGTGACTTACTGCAGAGTTGCTCGATTGTTGCCCATTGCTCAGATTTTTTCCAGGTTTGAGCCAAATCTTCATTAGACGTCTTCACTGCATCGAGGAGCAGACCAATACTGTCCTGTGAAAATGACATTTCATTTAGTCAAACTTGACCCACTTTAACAATAATAATGGTCTGTGTTTAGTGTTCTTCGGGTAAATGATTAGTTCACCAACAGGTGATACTGATCAGTGTTTCAGCATTATGTCAAACCTTCAAAATGTCAACAAATCAACACAAAATCAGAACCATGTTTTTGGCTCAAATCCTGAACCATGAATCACTGAAAACATCCTCCTCTGTAACGTTTTCCATATGAGGCTCTTAATGATTAAAGAAATAACATGAAACATGTTGGAGTAATAATGAAGAATGAGATGGTTTCATATTTGACCTGTGGATCTTGTGCTCTTATCAAAGTTCAGGGGGAAATGGTTGGTGAGGTAAGTTTTGAGGTCAGTTTCAAAGTCTTTTCTATTTAAAAAAAATAAATACAAAAGATTCCTGGTGGCAGGATGCACCTGCATCACTCTTAACAAATTTAAAGCAAAATTTTAGATCATTCTACATGGAGATATGAATGTTCCAGGAAAAGAAAGGGAATCTCCATGGAGACAACCTGCAACCTGCCCTCCACCAGAAAAATTACAAGTCAGGTCTGTGGAGAGAATTAGCCCCAAATGACCCAAATGTTCTATATTGTTTTCAAAGTATTTTGACTGCTATTCAATTAATTTTCAGATTAGACCTGAAACCATTTTTTCTTTAGACAATTTAAGGGAAATAATAGGAAAAAACGAGTTGTGTGTTTTGTCTCACTCCTAAAGGCATGACTTCGTTGGTGACCAGGAAGAGCAGCAGGTGGAAGTCTGACACAATGTTCAGGAAAACCGTGGAGCTGCACTGGGACAAGTACGTGGCTAAACTGTGGAAATCCTGAAACAAACGTAAAATAATGGTTATAAACAGTAATATAAATAATAATAATAATAATAGTTATAAAAAGTTCAGGATGTGTGAATGCATAAAGTGTAGAAGTCTTACTTGTGTTTCTCCGAGCATTTCCCGGTTTTCGATGGGGAAGCGTTGAGACGAGGAGAACGTGTACTGGGGGTCCTTTGGGAAAGTGGTTGTGATCTGTTTAAAAAAGGAAAATGCTATCAGTTTATTTTTAAATACAGTCAAATAATTTCAGTTGAATTAATCGATATATGAAATAAAAAATGTCCAGAAAACAAAATTCCAAAATGCAACTCCAACGTCTAAATATTCCCACTGATCAGACAGAACTCACATCTATGATCAGATACTCCACAGGAAGCGGCCGAGCTAGAAACGTGACGTCATTCCCAAATTTATCTTTATCCTGTTGAGAAAGAGAAATACATTAATTAAACCATTTTGGAAAGATAACTGAAAGGGGTTTATTGCAATAATTATGGCCCCAAACTCTGGAACGCTCTGCCCCTCCATGTCCCAACAGTCCCCACAGTGGAGTGTTTTAAGTCTCGTTCTCGGTCTTTTAATACCATGTGAGTTTTGTGGTCCTCTGTGTCTTTTATTTTTATTTTTTTTATTTATTTATAGTTTTTATGGGGGATTGAGGAGATCCTCAAAGTATTCCTTCCACCGCCGGACAACGTCCCCAGTCGAGGTCAACAGCTCTCCCCCTGCACTGTAAACTCCTGAGGCGTCGGACGGTTTGCCAAAATTTCTTTGAGGTCGTCCGATAGTCCTCCTCCATGGCCTTCCCGAACTCCTCCCAGCTCCGAGTTTTTGCCTTTGCGACCGCACAGGCTGCAGCACGCTTGGCCCACCGGTACCTGTCAGCTGCCTCAGGAGTCCCATGAGCCAACAAGGCCCGATAGGACTCCTCCTTCAGCCTGACGGCATCCCTTACTTCCAGTGTCCACCACCGGGTTCGGGGATTGCCGCCGCGACAGGCACCACAGACCTTACGCCCACAGTTACGAGCGGCCGCATTGACAATAGAGGCTGAGAACATAGCCCACTCGGACTCCATGTCCCCAGCCTCCCCCGGAATCTGGGAGAAGTCCTCCCAGAGGTGTGAGTTGAAGGTTCCTCTGACAGAGGGCTCTGCCAGACGTTCCCAACAGACCCTCACAATACGCTTGGGCCTGCCAGGTCCCTCCGGCTTCCTCCTCTGCCAGCGGATCCAACTCACAACCAGGTGGTGATCAGTTGACAGCTCAGCCCCTCTCTTCACCCGAGTGTCCAAGACACGTGGCTGGAGGTCAGATGACACGACGACAAAGTCGATCATCGACCTCCGGTCTAGGGTGTCCTGGTGCCACGTGCACTTATGGACACCCTTGTGCTCGAACATGGTGTTTGTTATGGACAAACTGTGACTAGCACAGAAGTCCAATAACAAAACACCGCTCGGGTTCAGATCAGGGAGGCCGTTCCTCCCGATCACCCCTCTCCAGGTGTCACTGGCGTTGCCCACGTGGGCATTGAAGTCCCCCAGTAGAACAACGGAGTCCCCAGTTGGTGCACTGTCCAGTACCCCTCCCAGGGACTCCAAGAAGGCCGGGTACTCTACATTGCTGTTCGGCCCGTAGGCCGACACCACAGTGAGACACCTGACCCCGACCCGAAGGCGCAGGGACATGACCCTCTCGTTCACCGGGGTAAACTCCAACACGTGGTGGCTGAGCTGTGGGGCTATAAGTAAGCCCACACCAGCTCGCCGCCGCTCCCCGTGGGCAACGCCAGAGAAATGTAGGGTCCAACCCCCTTCAAGGAGTTGGGTACCAGAGCCCAAGCTGTGCGTAGAAGTGAGCCCGACTATATCTAGCCGGTATCTCTCAACCTCCCGCACAAGCTCGGGCTACTTCCCCCCCAGCGAGGTGACATTCCACGTCGCCACAGCCAGATGCTGTGTGTGCGGACCAGGCCGTCGGGACACCCGTCCCCGACCACCGCCCAGTCCTCTATGCACCCGACCCCTATGAACCCCTCTGCGGGTGGTGAGCCCACAGGAGGGTGGACCCACGTCGTCCTTTCGGGCTGAGCCCGGCCGGGCCCCGTGGGCAAAGGCCCGGCCACCAGGCGCTCGCATTCGAGCCCCAACCCCAGGCCTGGCTCCAGGGTGGGGCCCTGGCTGCGCCATACCGGGCAACGTAACGGTCCTCGATATTGAACTGTTCATATAGGTTCTATGAACTGCTCTTAGTCTGCCCCGTCACCTAGGACCTGTTTGCCATGGGAGACCCTACCAGGGGCGTGATGCCCCGGGCAACATAGCTCCTAGGATCAACCTAAACCTAAAACAAGTTAGTGTAAAATTCTCCTCCATACCTTGTAGAAGACATCGGGGACGTACTGTTCGGGGCTGGACTCTTTGGCGTATCCAAGCTCTGAGGCGTCTTTACAGGGCAGCAGACACTCGTCCCGCACCAGAGCCATGCACTGATTGGACACCTGGTACCCCTCGAAGTGCACCTGGTTATCTGGGCCCCCTACAGGCAGTCACAGGTACAACAGGTTTAGTACAACAAACATAAGGACCATGGGCTCTGTTTAAGCTTACGACACAAACCAGGAAGACGTTTAGAAACATTTGAAGACAACTTCGGGTGTAGTTCCTGACACTGGGCTCGCCGACCAACTGTGATACAACCCACTGGCGTAAATATCATCAGCGGTAAAGACTGCGTACGTATCTGCTGTTTGGAATCATCTTGAATTTGGCGCAAATACCAGCTCAAACGTACCACTGGCTTGAAAGTCCCAGCTCAAGCATCCCATCCTCCCTCCGGGCACCACCTTCTCTTGGGCGGCACACGGACAACTGCTCTGCCCGGGAGACGGGGGACGACCAAACCAAACGTCAGGCCTTGTTTATGTCATTTTACTGATCTTCCCAAACTGGAATATTCCTGAGGAGTAATTTGACTCACTGTATTAACTCTATTTGTGTCTGTTTGAGACCAAGAATGTTTGCATGTTTTGTTTGTATGTATGAATAAATGTGTTGAGATATATTGTAATTTGCATGTGTAATTAATACAATATATATCAATTTTTTTTAATATATGTATATAGATTAAAAGAGTTTCATAAAGGGCACAATTCAAGGGACTTTCCAGCTTGGGGACCCTCGCAGCTGATTTCCTTTGACGCCCTTATCTCTTCTAATCGCATGTACCCAGTGCGTTAAGAGTTGTGTGTCATCGGGGAAATTATTTTTAAAAACTGAGGTATGGTTGTAATTGTTGATTATCCGAACATAACGGAACACTACAATGACATTTAGATGAAGAAAATTGGGACATTTTCTTGTTTTTCCTAGAACAGAGCTCGCCAGAAGTTGTAATCGCATCTTCCCAAACGTCTTCCTGGTTTGTGACATAAGTGTGAATCGAGCCTAATGAAATTCAAATGCATACAAAATTGTCAGTTGTCAGTTAAAGGTGCACTGCATAACTTATCTGGTTTATAGGTTTATATGTGCTGGGCTCGACATTAACGGTTGTCCGCTGGTCCGGGGCAACTAAAACTTTTGTCCGGGCAAGTACTCTCCTCTGCCTAGTTGCCCGAGCGGGCAAGTGAAAATAAAGCGACACAAATCTAGTCCCCCAGTAATAACTATTTATTTGGTTGATAAACAAAGCGACGGGTTGTCCGTTCATAACGCATTTTTTTCATTTCCGTGAAAGGAACAGATAAGTCCAACCTTTTGAACTGCCACGAAAAACGGCCGCGGTGACAAGTGCTCACTTCATGCGCGCTGCTGTGCGCATCACAGTCAATGTTTTGTCTTTCCCACTGACTGTAGGCATCTTAAATAAAACGGACGTAGTATTACGCTGCCTCCTGCACCACAATCTTTGCCCAGTCAATCAAAAATGTCCCTTAGTGCGAACCGCGCCACTCCACCCCTTTTGTTTTGTCTCTCATTCTACCGTCACATCTCACATATGTAGGAAACTTCATGACGCGTCGGAATGAAAAGCGAACTCAGGGCTAAACCCAACTCCAAAAATTTGCCATATATTTATCAAGCCTACTCACTAATCTCAGTAATTAGTTAAAATGCATAGGTTATTATTATAGCCTGTGCTTTTGGGAATAACATTCACTGGGACGGTACCGGGGCGTCTCCAAGCGATACGTGCGCTCTGTGAGCGGGGCGTGTGTCACCGGAGGACCACGCCGCGTGACATTAAACCCTGCTTCTCTACTTCAGTCCTCATGGAGCCCTGTACGTGCACAGTCCCACATCGTACTGAGATCCATTCATAGAGAACAGTCCTACCTGTGCGCCTCCAGTGCGTCGCTCCAGTGCCACGCGCGTAAATCCCGTGTTTTTCTTAACCTATTACGCAGCGACGAGAAGCGCGAACAAGGACCTAAATTTAAGCAGTCCAAACTAACTCCACAGTAGAGGACCGAGATATGTAGTAGTTTTCTTTATAAGTGCGCAAAGGGTATAGTTACAATTTATGTTTTATGCAAATTAATGGCCAATATTATTAAGAAAATACTTTTCAGTCTCATTGAATAACTTTATATCTATGTTAATTCATATTTTAAAACAGAGTAGGCTACTATACACGGTTCAGGTATAACTCCAAATGCGCACGCAAATAAACACACAACTGATTGTCACGAAGACTGACCTGCGCTTAAGTTTCGCTTTTGTTTCTCGTTTTCTGCACTTTATATAAAAGGCAGCGCATGGAGCATGTGCTCTTACTTTGATTAATAACTTTACGCTTTTGCTACTCGGAGGAGGACGGAGGAGAATTATGGAGAACTTTAGGCAGATTCGTTTGGATACATCTTTACGCACACGCGCTCCACGCTGGATATATTTACCAATGAGGAGCAGGGTTTTTGCGGAGTTTTGGTTAATATTATGTTTGGCTTAAATTTGACACGGACACTGCAGGCTGTGGATTTATTATTACGCACTTTGGCTTTGAGACTCTATAAACGCCCCGCACTGGAGACTGGGTGTTTTCGGGTGGATACAAGTTTCACGCTGCACCTTGTTTCTTCAGCTCATCTGTTTTACCGGTAAAAGACACACTGCACTTAGTTTGGACACATGTAGGACATGCTCGACATGTTAAACATGAGCGCTGTTTGTGCAGTACATTTGCGCAGAGCGCAGTACTGACGCGTGAACACCTGCACTACTGATAAATTGAAGTGAAATTAAAGTGTGTGTTGGCTTATTGACGCGGGCATTTAATGAAAGGGACCGAAAGTGGGCACCGAGCGAACTTTTGTTTTTTTAATACCAGTTTTTTAGTACTTACCAGTACTTACCGGGCCTTTTCGGTCGATGCCTACTTGAAACAGAGTTTCGATACCCAACACTATCTGCGCAGACTATAGGCTCGAGCAAGTCCAGTTCTATGGTGTACTGGCACTAAAATATTTGGAATGTGAAATGTGCAAGTGAAAGTCGGTTTCTTAACCTGTGGGCGAGGGTCCAAGGGAAGGACTATATAAGGCTATATATTTTGTGAAGCTCATGAAGCCAAAATTAACTTTAAACATACAGAAAGTAAATCAGATGTAATGCAAAGTAGTGTAACTCCATTACATATGAGGGACAATACTGCATTACAAAATGTTACACTGCAAAAGGCAATATGTATCACAGTTTCAGATTAACTTGCTCATTGGTCCCAGCATTGGTCCCAGATGACAGCAACATAGATGTTCTGTCATATTTATCTATAATCACATTAGTTCTAGTTGTTACCTGCCCATATGGGTCTGACAACCTGAGACACGTTGAGGCACTCTTAGATCTCTGAGTGGATACAAGAGAGAACAATTTAATATGAGAAAGACCAATGATAATCATTTTCATCTCATATACATACAAATTTGGACACACTTTTTCATGTATGCTTCTTTTTTCCCTCCATATTTACACTGTGGAGTGTAGTCTGAAATGATTTAAACTTGTTTTATATATTTGAGATTCTGCCCCACTCTCTCAAACCATTTAGTCATTGTGGTCATGTTATGTTGGTATTCATATGAAAAAAAAAGTTTTTATATGCCTGTGCTAGAGTTCTAGTCAAGACTGCGTTAACTGAGGCCAAGACCTGTCCGAGACCTCAGGGTCCTGAGACCAGGACAAGACCAAGACCTCTGAGGGTCGAGACCAAGACCACAGCCCATCGAGACCAAATATCATGACCATCTTTGTCATTTTTTGACATTTATTTGGATTTTACAGTTATTTTGGCACATATATATCTCAATGTTTTTAGAAATCTATCTCCATTTTATCTGATAAATGTTAATTTAAGATTAAATTAAGACAAGCAAACTGTACTGTACTGAACACTGCCCTTTTTTAGACTCTCACCCACAGTTTGAGAACCCTTTCTTTAAGAAAACTTCCATTGGTATTTTACACAAAACTGCTTCAAAGTGAATGCAGTGGGTAGGATTTTAAACCCGTTTTGTCAAGTTTCTAACTGGAGTTACATTCACTTGCTGGTTTTGCAGTGGGATTTACCACATTTACCAAAACGCATGTCGTGACAAACATAGATGCATTTTGAGCACTTTTATTAGGCAACCTTCAACCACATGTAGCAGTAGTGCTGCTTTGTGCCAACAATGTAACATAAATTTGGATTCGTTTTTAGATTTATTTTTCTAATCTGTGGGCATTGAAGAGGGAGCCCGTTTGTGCTATATGCAGGGAGGAACGAGAGCGCGAAAAGAAGGAGCAGATGACGTGAGGCAGATGGGCAGGTAGAATGTTTTAAAAAGTTTAACCTGCCCTGTGATACATTTTGGGTACGAGAGGGTACACGCTGTTGCGGACAAGGCACGCGCGCTGGGGGCGCTCCACACAATGCACAGGCTGCAGCGAGACACCCCGCACGCCCCCGCACACCGGTACAAGTTTATTGCTGAGAGCAGTGGCCGTAATGAAATATGATCGCACCTGTCTAAAGTCAGACCTCGAGTCCGAGACAAGACCGAGTCCAAACGTGGTCGAGTCCGAGACGAGACCAGTAACTCGTGTAACCTCGCGAAACCACAGCCGTGTGTCAACGCAAAGGCGGTTCTACCGGCAGCTTGCAGCAGGAAGTACACGCGCAGCTCTGACTCTGTGTTTCTCAATGAGAAAGACGATCAAATTTGACGGGCGCGTTTAGCCGCTTGTATCAGGTCTACAGTTAAACTAACAGCTGAACACACTTGTATTTACCTTCTGTACAGGCTGACCACGGCAAAAGCCACGATTTAAAAAAAGTACATTTTAAAGCTCTTATTAACAGTCTTTCTGGACCTGGGCCCTTTTACATGACACACAGATCTGCCCCAGGAGCACGTTGTCCTGACGGTAAAGGCACAAATACAACCAAAGATTCATGCTCTGTGTATTTTGATGGGGATACGTGTAGAGTGTCAAAAAATAGGATGGATCCTATTTTTCTGAAATCTACGCATGCAGGACATGTTGCTCCATACGTGCGTCTAGCACCTGCAGTGAAGCCGTCCTCATTCACTTTTCCATGCATTCTAAAAGTTAAACGTCCAAAAGTTGCAGTTTTTACGCTCGCATAGAGCGAAAATGTACGTGCAGTCAAGCCAGGCCCTAACAGCTGAACAGACTTGTATTCACCTTCTGTACAGGCTGACCAGGGCAAACGCGAGGATTTCAAAAGCAAATTTTAAAGCACTAATTAACAGTATTTTTCTGGACATGGGCTCTTTCACAGGACACTGTGGCCATACCGGCCTGATCCCGTCAGATCTCAGAAGCTAAGCAGGCTGGGCCTGGGTAGTACTTGAATGGGAGACCGCTAGGAATTCCAGGTGCCACAGTGGGTCGTTGTGTCCTTAGGCAAGACACTTCACCTGCATTGCCTAGTATGAAAGAGGTGTGAGCGTGAGTGATGGTGGTGGTCGGAGGGGCTGATGGCTCAGATTGGCAGCCTCGCTTCCGTCAGTCTGCCCCAGGGCAGCTGTGGCTACAGTAGTAGTTTACCACCACTGAGTGTGAAGTGAATGAATAATGAACTGTAAAGCGCTTTGGGTATCTTGAAAAAACGCTATATAAATGCTATCAATCAATCAATCGACACAGATCTGCCCCAGGAGCATGTTGTGCTGAGCCAGGCCCTAAAAAAAGGTCTAGAGTACTACGACACTAGCCTGTGCACATATTTAAAATTATATAATTAACTGAGCACCATTTTGTTTTTCCGGGCAAGTAAGTCTGGGTGTCGGACAAGTAAAAAATTATAGCCACTTGCCCGGGCAAGTACTTGTAAATGCTTAATGTCAAGCCCTGATGTGTATCCTATAAAATATCTTGCTTTCATGGCTAAAGTGCACTATGGTGGCACAAGTGATTCTTATTCAAAGTCTAAAAATATTCTCTGTAAATAGCCTTTTTCATCATAGTATTTGGCTCACTGTTACAGGCAACACTTTTTTCACAATTTTTTACTTTTTCACAGTTCAGAAGATACAATATTTAGTTGTTTTTTTAATTACCATTATGCCAAAGATGGTCATTTTTTTTTATTCTGAAAGCCATGGATAGTTTTAAGATGTTATCGTACTGTTGACATGCGAAGAATGTTTTGTTTTACTTGTCCAGCTTGTTTATGACTGGGGTTGGCTTCTAGATTAAAGGTGCATTTTGGAACTTTTCTGGTAAAGGCTCTGCTAAGTTATTGCTTTGCCTGGAATGTCCCACACTATGGCATTAAACTTATCTCTGTGAGCAGGTGACTCCAAGACCAAGTTACAGGTCAGATCTGTGGAGAGGCGACCCTGCTCACAGTATGAATACACGTTAGGCAAAGCAATAACATCTCCATGGAGAGAAGCAGATGGTTAACCCACCAAGAGGTCAATCATCGTCAAAAACAAGCTGGACAATGAATCGGTAAAACAAAACATACTACTCCTCATGTGAACGTAAAAAGAATTTGGTCTGATAAAACTAAATATTTTACTGCACACATTTTCCTCTCCTTCAGGATGTTGTGCAGATGTTGGCACTATCATGGCATAGTTCGATTCTCTCTTACTTTCCTTCATTATACTGGTACAATGCAGATGTTTATTTGATCTTTGTACCTGTTGCGAGGACTGTGACAAACTTGGATCCGAAGTGGCCCTCTGGAGAGTCTGCAGGGGTTCGGCTGCTGGTTTTGGAAGTGTCCGGCCGTGATGCACTCCTCCGCGCTCAGATAGTACGAGTCCTGACGTAAAAGAAAGAATGATTTAAGTTGACACATAATGATGATACAGGACTACATTTTTAAGGCATGTTGGAGACATTTTAATCATTCATACATTTTAAAAGGTGCACTGTGTAACTTTTTGATTGGGGGTCTGTTACCTTTTTGTTTCTCTGGATACGTCAATGCTCTGCTTAGAATGTTCCACAGTATGACATTAAACGGCTCTACTTTACATTTATTTATAAATTACAGGAGGTTTTATAGCTCAAAATACTTATAAAAACAGGCATTCTGACTGTAAGCAGGGTTGCCTCTCCACAGATCTGACCAGTAACTTGATCAAAATAAAATGCCTTTATTGATTTAAGACATGCCGTAAATTAATAAAGGCATTTTAATTTAACCAGTGAGTGCCTTGGGTTTTTTGTATCTTTTAACTGACTTCCCTTCCCAAAGAGCACCACTGAGTTTTATCTACTGTGTATTATCCTCTGGAGGTCCAGGAAGCGCTTTTTTTGAAACCTTTTTTAGTACCTTGGTCTGGTTTGGTCTCCATGATGATAGACAGGTTAAAAACCATGTGAAACATTCCAGACATGTTTAATTTAATATATTTCACATTATATTTAAGATATTTCTTTGACTTGACTGAAAATGTGTCCTACTATGATAAAGCCTCATAGTGTAAAAAAAAAAAAAAAAAAAAAAAGACTTTGTATATTTATATATAGAGATTTTTCTTCTTTAGTTAGGGGTGTTTTTATTTGCACCAAAAAACATATCTGTACTTTAAGCATATATCACAAACCTGATTCTCATTATTTGAAATGTTATGGAAATGTTATTCTTTTGGCTCTTTCTCTCTACACAGTATGGTATAAAACATATCTATCTCCGTGGAGAATGTTCCAAAGTACTGTTTTAACTTGCCACACCATCTACAGAAAGTTTTGCAGTGTTACGTTAACAATAGTACAAAATATTAGACAATGAGCACTGAATAAAAATATAACTCTCTCTTCAAATTGGCAAATCATCACATAATCAAATGACTATTTGATTCCACCTAACATATAAATCCACATTTTAAATTAATCACCCAGAAACATGTTTATGAAACAGATACAAACTTTAAACAAAACCCACGGTTGTAAAATTGTAGTGAAAGTGCTTTGAATTTACCTGGTTTCTTGTGTAGCGTACTGTCCCTATTCTTGTGTCCTCAGAAACCAGGTCAGTGAAAATCCAGCCAACCTACAATAAAACAAAAAAGCACCAAGATAATGTCAAAGCAGGATTATAATATTGAAGTAGCGCTTTTAAACATGTGGGGAGGATGCACCAGAGTGAGCCGTGGGACATATGGAAAGGGTTACCCCCATTTGTGCTGTGAAATATCAGGAATCCAACGAATGCCTCAAGAAATTTAAACCTGACAACTGTACCCATAGACACCCGATAGACTTCTCACACACAATTTGGCATCACAGAGCTTTGAACTGTGTCGTCACACCTCACTGAATCTTCACTTAGTCTAATGTTAAAGGTGCACTGTGTAACTTTTTTGGTGGAGAGCCCATCAAATTCTTTATTTATTGCTTTGTCTGGAATGTTTCACAGTGTGGTATTAACCTCTCTACCTTCATGGAGATCAAACCAGATCAAGTTACAGGTCAGATCTGTGGAGAGGAACCCCCACTCACAGTCACAATACCTGTTTTTCTAGGCATTTTTGAGCTATAAAACCACCTGTGAGTGCATAAATATAAGGTAGAGCCGTTTAATGTCATACTGTGGAACATTCCAGGCTGAGCAATGACATTCACAGAAACAAGAAGGTAATGAACCCCCAACCAGAAAGTTACATAGTGCACCTTTAAAGCAATGGAGATTTTACAGTGCTAAATAGAAAACTTCTTCTAGCATTCAATAAAAATTTTACGCTTGGATGAGCTGAGAAACGTTTTCAACCCAAATAAATGTTTGTTCAGTTGACAAATTAAATTTCTTCTTTGTCATGGATTCTCCCTGGACGACTGAGGGATTCTACACACATTCAATAAAAAGTATTCTGATACATTAGAAATATAGTCACAAAAGTAAACAGAAGAACCATGAAATAATGTATTTTGTGGAAGTTTTGCACTTATCGCCAATAATATTTTTTTTTATGTTTGATCACAAGGTCTGTAGCAAAACAAATTCATTTGGTGGAAATAAAAACTGCTAATAGTAATATGTATTATAGTATATTCTGTAGTAGTAGAGACGATTTCTACAAATTTTGAAGAAATATGAGATTGAGTTCATGAGAACGAGACAAGACCATATTTTTTGATTATTTTAACATAATTCTTAATATATAAATTTACTGATTTACTTTCCAATTTTGGGCTCAAATTTTTATAATTTATTAGATTTTATATTTTTTGTTTCCATTCTAGTACTGCTTTTTGGAATTGTAAAAATTGTACATCACATAACACTTTTTTTGTCCAATCCAAATGTAAACAAAATGTAAACCCTATGAAATACATTTTTAGATGCAACACTGATCAAAATGTGGGTTTTAGTATTGGGAGTTTTCAGTTTTCAGCAAGCACAAAAACTACATTCTCTTACATAAATTTTTAAAACATTATAATCAAACTTTTAAATGATCTAGTAAGTAATGTGGGATTAAAAACATGCATGTCTGTGTCTGGATGGGGGAAGGAATAAGAGAGATGCCACAGTAACACAGGGAGGACACAGAGAAACATAAATCATTTAAAAAGGTGAGAGGGCAGAGTTTGTCTCTCCGTTGGAAATCAGGAGCTCGAGTTACAGAAATGTGAAAGTCTTGCAAACTCTTCAGCCTTAACCGAAAATTTACTGCCAGCGTCCACAAACATCAGAGCAACTTTCTGATCACCATGACCGTGAAAACAAATATTATGAGATCTAATATTTAATTAATGTTTTTTTTTTACAAGTTCAAACAGAATCAGAATCAATACACAGTTTCTAATTCTGGACATTTTCAAATTCTTATGGTGGTGCACACAGTTTTATAACATTAAGTTTGGCAGTTCAATTCCTGTTCCGACAAGCACATACTGTGGCTGTGTAATTGGTCAAGACACTTTACCCACATTTCCTAGTATAATTGTGGGGTGTGAATAATTAGCTGTTTTCCAGGCGGGCTGTTGGTGCAGATTGCCAATCAAATCAATTCTGCCCCAGGGCAGCTCTGGCTACAGCAGTTAAACATCACTACTAAATAACACCTATACCTTATTACCGCATTTTTCGGACTATAAGTCGCACTTTTTTCATGGTTTGGGTGTTTCCTGCGACTACTCCAATGTGACTTATATATTAAAATGTTCACAATGAAGTTGCGAGAGAGTGCTCTAGGCTTGTGTGTCAGTATCTGCTGCTCAGTCTTCGATGAAAGTCTGATATTATAAAATAAATTTCCCCCAAAAAGTATGACTTATATTCCAGTGCAACTTCTTTTATTTTTTTCTTCTTCATTACGCATTTTTTGACTGGTGTGACTTATATTCCAGAGCGACTTATAGTCCAGAAAATATGGTTTTGTCCTTTTGTTTCCCTTAAGAAGTTACATTACAAACTAGATACACAAATAGACAGATACACACCTTGCACAGTCCCAATTTGGCTGCGATTTCATCCACGGCCACTGCTTTGGGATCCTCCAACAGCTCAAGACTGTTTTGAGTTGCCGTCTGCAAAGAAAAATATAAGACTGAAATTTTAAAAACATAATAAAAATCACTAAAAATAAAAAAAAATCAGGGACGCGAGCAAATCCAAATTTCATTAAGGTTTCCAATATAATACAATACTGAATGAAAACTAAAAATATTGGGTTGTAATCTGTATAAAACCTGCCAGCCCCAGTTCAATAAAAACCTGCAAACCTAACCCCAATAGTAATAGTTGTTTTGAACAATATTAGAGCCAAAAATCAAAGTAATGCTTGAAAATAATTACAAAAATAAATAAATATATATCTACACTATATACTACTGAGTCAAATACAAAGTGAAACAAATATCAGCTTCCTGTTCTATGCAACATTTTGAGGACCTTTTCCCATTCCTAAAGATATAATATTTTATTTTAAACTTGCGCTATGACAACAGTCCTAATTTTTCATCATTCTAGACCCATAGATACTCTATACCACCCAGACACTGTAGTAAGTGCAGTACCTGTGGTGGTTCATAGATGGCAGCCACCTCTGCTCTGATGCCCAGGGGGATGTCTTTGTGCTCGGTGTAGCGTCCATACAGATAGCCCATCCTCTGGCTCCCCGTCTTCCTCCAAAAGTCCAGGAAGCGGTCAGCGATGGTGTGGTTCTCAAACATGATGTTGTCTACATGTCTGTATTTCTATAAAGAGACAAGAGCAAAGGAGGATATAACCTAGGGTTGTCCCAATAATTACTATATCAGTTTATTGTTCAATATATGACAGACGGAACAATAGTTTTGGGGGGTCAACGATTATCCTTTTTTTTTCTTTTTTTTATTACATTTTGTCATTTTCCCTGTTCTATGATTAGATTTATGCTGTAGAGGGTTGAAAAATTACCCTAACCTTATTAAAGTGTTGCATTCTGCTGTTTATTTATTGCAATTTGTGTTTTCAGTAATATTGTACATTTAGAACAGTTTTTTGGAGATAATTCTACTTTAATTCTACTTCAGTACTATTGTTAGGCACCTATAATTTCTTCAGCAATTTTGTGTAATTCTGAAAAGCTTAACTACTGTGACATGCACGCTTGTAGACTTAAGGTTAATGTTTGTCCCAATTTAAGCCAATTTGAATGAATAAATGATTATTTATTCGGACAGTAATACATAGAACATACATAGAAAACTTAAATACATAGATATAACACAAAAAGTAAATATTTCTCTTCAATAATAATAGGCAAAAATAAATGTTACGCAGATTTTCCTTGTGTCCGAAAAAGGAGTGGGAGGAAGTAAATACTTATTTAACCCCCCCCCCTTTGATTTCAGTCGGTAAAAACTGTACTTAAGAAGCACTTTGTACCAGGTCATTCCATTATTAAAAGAAAGTTGTTATCTTTCTGTATTCAAGCAACAGGATTTAGGGATTGGCAATATGTCATAATAATGTAGACAATAAGAAAATGTTCTTTCTGAGCCTAGGTTATGATTTTATAGCTATACATTCACTTAAAGGCTTTATTATTTGTACCCCTTGAATAAAACGGGGTACAAATAAAATTGCAGCTACCTACTTCTCTGCAGTTGGTTTACTCCATCCATCACTCCCTGATGTTAACTAATAGGATGAGGGTGTTTATCAAGTCAAATATCTTATCTACCACCAGTATTACGCTTTCCTGTTTATGCGTTGCAGTACCTGTCTGTTCAGTGTGATGGCGCTAGGTTGACACTTTGTGCAGATTCCTTCGGGCCACGGAGGATGACCTTCACAGCCCGACTTTATCTTACAACTGATGTTCTCCAGCGCAGCAAACTTTCCCCTAAAAACATCAATACAACAAGCACATTAAAACACAATAATAATGACTATTACAGTCCACCTAAAATTGTAATTGTAACTGAGCTCCATGATGATAGAAACGTTTAATACCATACTATGAAACATTAGAGACAAAGCAACAACATTTCCACCGATAAAAGCATTTGACGGACCCTCAGAATGCACCTTAATATAACTTCAGCTTTCGGATCACCAGGCCTAAATAAGAACTAAATATGTCACGCAAATCATGTAAAAGGTAGTTTTGTGTGAAGGTGTGATTAACCCAAAGAACAACAAATATACAAGCTAAAAAACATGGACAGCCCTTATACCACCACAGTTTTAAGTAAAATCTCTATTTCGTTTTAAACAGTGGTCAGAGGCAGGACTCACTTGTCTGCTCCTCCGGTCAGTTTGCGCTGGTAGGCATGGAACGACATGTGCTTCACCGGAGGATCCAGGTGGTTCAGATAGTCCTCGTCAAAAGGCTGAATGGGAAAGAATTAATAAGATTTTAGTACAAGTTTGTAAAATTAAACTTGTACTGTTGTGGATTTTGTCACTGATTTCATGATCCTCCAAATGAGAAGAAATTAAAAGTGAGTTTGATGGTTCACGTCTAATGATCAACAAATTAAAACTTTTTACAAAGCTTTATGATATGGGCTGAATATCATTCGTAATGAAGACCAGACTTCAGTTTGTATAAATATTGACAAAGAAAGCTGCAACACCAAATCCGGTTAAATATGACACATCAATAATTGAAATATTTTTTTACACATTTTGAATGACCAATGTCAATGACAATAATTATATAGTCCAATTATAAATATAATTATATTTACACTGGTACTATAATTATACAGCCATAATTATGTAGTTATTGACACTGATCATTAGGATTATACATTGCTTTTAAAACATGTGTGGAGAGCTGTCAATACAAAACATTTTGTGGTAGTTTTGTCTGTAAATGTGCAATATCAAAAACTAATCACACTGTCAGGTCTCAATACATGTTTATGTAATAGCATTTTTTTTTTACTTTATTCAGTTTACCACTGAAAATGACTTTGTATTATTGCTAAAAGCAGCAAAAACTATTAAACCTCTAATTACCTCTAATGGTACGCAGTGCACACATTTCCCCATGGCACCATGGCGACAACTGCAACAATAACAGCAAACTGCCATCAATATACAAATGAACATAATAACATCATGACTTATTTTCTAATGTACAATGCCTCTTACAGCTGTGGGTCCCTGTTCCTGTAGATTTTTCCATCTTGTTTGGTCAGATACTGGTCGATCTCATCTTCCTGGACGTGATTTGAAGAGAAGGAGTGAGGGATGATTGAAGAGGAAGAGGATGAGGAAGAGGAGGAAGAGGAGGAGGGGAAAGATGAAGAGGAGTGGGGCATCGCGGTGTCCATGACTTCAGCTTGAGACGTACTGGCTCCCGATGGGAACAGAAACAGCATGTCTCCGTGTCTAAACAAGAGGAAATTATGAACTTTTAACAAGACAAACTGTTTGAATGTCTAAATGTCTTTCAAAATGGCAAATATAAAAGAAACAAATCATGTGGCTGAAACTTCTGAATCACTTCAAAAAGGCTCTGTACCTGGTTTTAACTGTCTTAAAAACATCAAAAACAGAACTAGTTCATCTTAAATGGTTTGCAGTGGTCAAAAGTTCATTCAGAGCATCCTAATTATTCACCATGATGAATTTATAAGTGCTTTTCACAACTTCTAGAAGCATGGCATAAAGTCAACAACAACAAGCATGCTTACAGTGCACTTCCTGATTATCAGATAATTAAAACTGTTGGAAAAAAATCTGGTACAGAGCCTTCAAATACTAGGGATGGGCGACGTGTATTAGTATCATTGATATTTGTAAGATATATTTTGTTCTGCTGATTTTTTTCTCATTCAAATTGAAACAGAAGAGCAATGAAGTTAAACAATTAGACAATAACACTAATTATCTGTATTTTCTAATATAATGAAGTACAGATTTGTTTTTGCACTGAAACACTGAAACCTCAAACATAAAAGTGTGTTTGGTGAGGAGTTACTTGATCTTGAGGATACTGAGGGTCTTGTTCTGTGACAGGATCTCTCCAGTTTTGTTGCGATTTTGATAAATGGAGAAGCCATTAGAGTTGAACCCAAACTCTTTGCCCACCTGAAAAGTAGACATAGAAATAAATACATTTAACTATAATAGGCTTTTCATTCACTGACAGCCAAGTGTTTTAAAAGATGTAACTAAATTATTTTTTTCTTTTTTTTGTCAAGATAATGCATATTCATTGTCTGTAAACACACCCGACTGTAACCAAGGCCCAATTTACACTCATTGTCACACATCACTCATACAGTGAGTGCACACGGCAGACACTTGAGGTGAGGCAACTGTCTTCCCCAAGGACACAACATATTTACAAATAGTTTTTCAGTTGCTGTGAGAAAAAAAACACATGACAACTGACACCATGACTAGACCTAAAATCTTAATCTCATTCTCATTGTCTAAAACAGACCTGACACATACAGCCCTTTGGTTGACCCTGACAGGCCTGGCATTGCTTTTATTTTAGGTGTTTTTTTAAATTACATTTTTTGTAAGCCAACCTCACTTTTCATTGCTTAGTCATAACAAAAACTCTTACCAGTCTTACCAGCTCGTCAGAACAATGTTATTTACTGCGTTTTATAAAGAAATATAAAGAAAAAGAAAAAATGTTATGCAGAATTGAGTTAAGCATTTAGCCCGGCCCTCCGCAATATTTTTTGTTTCCCATGTGGCCCCATGGGAAAAAATAACTGCCCACCCTTGGTCTAATATATCACCATTGCTTTAGTATGTGACTAGTTTTATGAAATCAACTTTCTGAATGATAAAATTCATAATGTAAGTATCATGAACAGCCAGATAAAGTATACATATTTGGGATGGGACAAGCTCTCCAGCCACAAGATCTCATGAGACAAGACTGTGCACAAATTATGATATATAATATATTATTATATAAAACCGTCAGCCCAAAATGTATTAGAAAAGTCTAAATCTGGTCGTCTTTTTCTTTTGACCAAGCTTATGTCTCGTCTTGTGGAAATTGTATCCTCATCCCTAATATTTAATTGAACAGTTTATATACATAATTTTTGCATCTGAAATTATAATTTGGGGCTCTTAATGATTATAAAATGAGCTGTATAACAACAATTTAAGTGCTGTATAAACACAAGGTACATTCTGGCTCTTGTGCTGAGAGGTAACACTGTCAGACTGGAATGATCACTTTGCTTTGTCTGCAGATTAGGCTCCACTAGACTGTCACGGTTTGTCTGAACACTGGTTTAGGATTGCACCCATCACGGGAGAAAAAAAAAAACATGCTGGCTCAATGAGCTACTTCCTACCTCAGCAGAGAGTGGCATGAATTTTTTAACATTTGCGACAGAAGTCTAACTCTGAAGAACTAATTTCCACACAAGGCTATTTTAAACCAGCTATTTCAGAAGTCCTCAACTGTCCCGTGTAGCTTTTAATATCTCACTTCAATTATGAAAAACAAAGGGCTGAGTCTGTAGCAGGAAATAGCAGCTGTGGTGGTGCAGAGTGTGTTACAATTATGCAAAGTAGAACCATCATGAACAATAACTACTCTGAGAGATAGATTTAGATTTATTAATTTTGTAATCATGCAAACATTAGGAAGCTGGTCCATGTAAAAGATGTATTGCGCAACATTTCTGGTGGGGGGGTCTGCTACCTACTTGTCTACATGGAAATGTTATTGCTTTGTCTAGAATTTTCCAAAGTATTGATTAAACCTATCTATCACAAGGGAGACAAACAGGTTACAGCTCTACACTATATTACAGTTCAGATCTGTGGAGTCACCCCTATTCATAGAAGGAATTATTGTATTTTTGAGCAATATAAACACCTGTATTAAATAAATGCTAGATAGTTGTGTTTAATGTCACACCATGAAACATTTCAAGTAAAGCAATAACATCTCCACGGAGAAAAATAGCTAGCAGACCCTTCACCACAAAAGTTGCGCAGTGCACATTTAAGCTGTATGCAAAAATGTGGAGTAGTTGCAACATGACACAAAGACATTGTGGTTTAGATCTCCAAGTAAAAGTAAAAATATCTTGCCATGAAGACAGGACCAATATTTCTTCATTCCATTATCTATTATCATTGTCTATTCCACCTCCCATAATCCAAAAACACACAGCAATTGTTGTGTTGTCTTTAAAAAGAAAAATGTTTACACTAACCTTTTTAAGAAAGGCAGCTGCTGTTTCTTTTCTGGTTGAAGGAATTTTCTTCATCCCATCTGGAGACTGAACCCTGATGATCTGCAACACAAAAACACATAAAGGTCAGTGCTTAATAATTAGGAGTGTTTGTTTGAGTCATTTTCATTATACATTAATCCCTTTATCAACATTGTTAACCACCAGCTTATTGTCATTGTCCATTACATTTTATTAGCAGTTGTCTCGTTACAAAAAAACTTAATAAACATCAATTGGAGTTTATCATTAGGGCTGGGTATCATCAAGAAGTTGCAGATTCAATACAATTCGATACGGTATATTTCAAAGTTCTGTGAAAAACAATGGTGTGATACTAAAAATCTACTAAGTCTGCTAAGTTTGTGCAAAGTTAATATGAAAAACACCCATTTTACTCATCAAAACAGTGGAAATGTCAACACAATTGTAGCTGTTACACAAAATAATTTAGTAAAATACTCCTAAATCTCCTAGTCTTTTTGATTTATTAGCTCTTACTGTGTACTCTCAAATAGCAATGTATCTATACTCAGGTATCTCAGGACAAAATTGTTATTAAAGAATTAGTTCTTAATGTTTTGCCTGGTATAATAAAAGTTTACTGAAATAAATAATCAATTCAATACAGCACAAGTCGTTAAGGCAAAAGCCCACAGTGTAACTTTTCTGGGGGAGTATCTGTCACCTATTTGTCTCCAAGAAGATGTTGGTTGTTATAATGTTCCACAGTATGGCATTAAACATATTCATCTTTATAGAGCAGATGATGCAACCAGGTCAAGTTACAGATCAGGTCAGTGTAGAGGCGAGTGTGTAGAGTCAGCTCATGGTACGATCATGGTTTTAGAGACTTTTATGACTCTACTTTTATGACTTTTACAAAATTTCTAAAAAGCCAGGTCACGTTTATGCTGCAACATTGTGTATTCATTTATCAAATTTGTCAAGCTTATATAGATATATATATATACTACATAAAAATTTAAATAAAAATTTAAAAAAATTAACAATGCTGTGTCTGAAAGTGGTTTAATGATTTTTGGCAGCAGGGGGCCGCTCTCTGCTGAGGCAAAGGTCAACAAAGATAAGACCCTCCCACTGGATGTCAATTTCCAAACTCTGTCACTGTCAAAAGGTTATCACACTATAATGACGATGCAAAAAGTGAAAATAAAAGTAGCTTTGATGGCCTGTGCTCATCTCCTGTTACTATTGCACACCCTGCACACATGAAAAACAACATAGCTACAGCTGTCATACGGATTAAGGTGATTGATTGGAAGTTAAAGAGGTTACAGTTTATTTAAGCCCCCGGGTAGCATTACATTCAGTCAGAGGCTACTGTTTAGCCAATAAGACGCAGTGTATAATTGAATATTCACTGATAAATATGTAAAAATCCCCTAACTCCAATCCCGTCTCATTTCATCTGAGCATCTGCATAGCCAAAGGGTTTATCGTAGCTTGTTTATTAGCCATCTAAACAGGCCACAGTGGCTCTTTCATTGAGCTAAGTAACATTAGCCTCTGTGCTAATTCTGCTGCCTCATCACTATGTAGTTGAGCTAAAGAACGAGCTAACAGCGGCTAACTGTGGCAATCTTTATCATACTCACGATATTATCCGCCATGTTTCTGGGTTGGCTGCTCCCGATCGAAGTTGATTTATGCGTCGACAGAAGAGGAAAATTAAATAAGACTTTCTGTATCTATGTCAACGAAACTCCATCCCACAACTACAGATACCGGTTGTTGCAGACATTAGAGTCCCACCGGTCCAACTGCGAAAAGCGTCCGTGCGAAACGTGATTTGTTTTAGATGAAAATAAGTTCCGAATTGTGGAAAAACATATTCTGAAAACCATTATTTGCGTGTTTCAGCTGTCTGTTTACAAGCGATATGATGAGAGTTTTTGCCCATTCAAAATTATATGACGTTTTGCTTCGAATTGTTAATTTCTATAACATCTGTGGTAGATTTTCATCACTCTTGACACCTATGGATTAAACAGAGAATACAAAGTTCAGCAATTCATTAACCAGTGTTAATTATTTCCTCTGTTTGCCTATGATTAACAAAACGTGTGACTGTTTTAGGGAAGATAAGCAATACTGCATGATAGTAGACACACATTTTTTTCATTAGAACAGAGTATGAATTGCATAGACTATTTAAAAACACGGCATAGCCTCCGTATTGCAGAATTTATGAAGCTTCAATCAGCCCAAATAGGCTTGTATACTAAATTTGTATGCCTATATATTTCTCTCTATATTTAGTCCATGTCATTGACAATTTTGAAATTATAAGCCTATTCATTCCTTGAATTTATGTGCTTACACATAGTTATCTATGAACAGTGTATGTAGCCGTTCATATGTTCACAATTTATATAACTCAATAAACAAAACGCGGAATATAAGCCATATAGGTGCTATCGGGCCTCTGACAGACAATAGTGCTGATGGCGTTTCATTCTCATGAACTCACTACTTTGTCTCTTCTTTCTCTCCAGTATTTTTGTTTGCTATGAAGCAGTGATACCAACACACTTATAACTACAACTGTGTTTAACATGGATCGTGGGCCTAAAGTATCAGGTAGCTGAACCAGGTCTATGATCTACACAAGAGCTATAGAAACACGCAAAGTACAATGTCTCACTCTTTTGTGTGATATACTTTTTTTTAGATATGGTACATTATTGGTCTCCGATTCACACACTTAAACCAGTTTCGTGCAACATCTTCCATACTTTACTATTTAAAGTCATATTTATATCTTATATATATCCAAAATACGTCCAAATAGCAAACTCTGTACAAATTTCTTTCAAAGTTTTCGTTTTTGAGCCCGCTGCCGCGTCAAAACTCCTATCGAATACATCTGCACACAAGCACAGAGCACAACAGCGTCCGTTAGAAAATAAAGAAAAAATAATAGCGACCAAGAAATAGTAGATAATAACTACAGGCTCCATCAATGTTCACTCGGCAAAGGGCGTTGCAAGCTCTCCACTATATAGCAATAGCTAACTACTATTTCTTAAAGAGCTGATCCGTGTTTGCAAAGTGCTATTTACAATGCCAGATCTACGCTCGCATACCTCAACTCTATAAAACTATGATTGAGAGATGTGTGGTCATAGCCTAGCCGTAATGGTACAGGATAAAGTCTCATCTGAGTCAGAGACTTAAGCATTCTTGTACTATTGGAAAACAGAATTGGTGAATTCCAATGTTTCATCGAGTAAGTATGATTTGAAAGCGTCTGGCTGAAAAATGAGTGAGTAACACTACATCCTACACTAGCACGGCTGTGTGACATAACAATATCCATTCAACACTTGAGGCTGTAGGCTATTACTTCTGTTGTTTCCATTGGGAGAAAAAATGGAAATGGAAAAATGTAAGAGAAGGGCATGGTTTCAAGGTAAAGGGATATCAATGTTTTTAAAGGCAACACTAATGTAATAAAAGTCAAACAATGTATTTTCATAGTTATTAAATATTGATTTCTATTCAAAACTGCATATTAAAATGTAGTAATTCAGTGGTCACTTCTAGTTTTACACCAATACAACAGATTTACTTTTTTACATCTGGGAATTAGGATGACAGACGGCATAGATCGTGACGAACAAAGATCAGATTATAAATGATCCTTCATCATAATTGTTACAACATATTATGCTTAATAGTAGCATCTCAGAGTCACATATTTCCAACAACGTAATTTAGGCGGTTTGTTCTAAGGCTCCTTTCCTCAACAGTACCTCAACTTGATCAGTAGCTTCAGTAGACGTCTTGAAATTAACTGTGCTCTGTTATTCTCATCAAGTTATAAGTTGATAGCCTGCGAATATTGTGTGGCTCCCGATACAGATAGAAGCAAGTCTCCAGTCTCGCTGGTTGAAGGCCTCCCAGGGGCAAATTCACTGTGGATGTCTGGGAACAGAGGAGGAAAAAGTGGTAAAAGTTAAACTCAGCAAAAGAGTAGGTTAAATAGTTACACCTCTTGTGGCTTTGTAACATCTTGCAGGTGGAAGATTAGTTTCAGCAATACTCTCCAACATGTGCAAAGCGTAGCCCTGGCTCTATGATGAGTGGTATTATCAACTTACACTTTATATATACATCACAATAGTCAATCTGTTATAAACAAACAGCACAATACAATACAATAGACTTCCAAACAAATTAGAATCAATATAATACATGAGTGTACTGCCTACTATGATATATAATGACTTATTCATCTGTCTGTTCATGTGTGGTGTAGACATTTTACTTATACTATTATGATTTAGAGTATATAGTTCAATAAAGCTTTAATAAGTAGACGAACTAACGGATAGTACAACATGCCCAGTGAAACCAAGAAACTAAACTGATTTGGTACGGCGCGACCAGGACTAACTCAGGATTCCCAAAGAACAATAAACGGACCAACTTAAAGTCTGCCATACGGACTAACAAGTCTCGGTTCAATACCTGAGAGACACCATGAACTGTCCTGTGATATATAACCATTTCTCCTCCCGTGGCGCGAATAGTTGAGTGCTTCTTGAATCAGATTTAGCATATAAGTGTCGAATACAAAGCTCAAATTGTGCATTTTAGTAGGCCTTTTTCTCTGACGCCATCAATTTCTTGTACTTATGTCGCGATTTAGTCTAGCTATCCTACAAAACTTACATTAGATAAAGGTCGTATCCTCCGTTATCTTGGGTTAAGACTGAAAAGAGATGCCTCACCTGCTTTCCATAAACAGCCACTTGCTCATCCTCGTATGAGATTTTATATTTCAGGTCACCGAATAGAACTGCAAAAGTGACACCATCGAAGTAGCGTATCTTTTAAAGAACCCAAGCTACTGTCGACAATATTCATTCTATACTAACTCTATTTATAACATTATGTCGTACTCATTATAGGCTTACTGATATATTTGTCTTATAACTGTTATGTTATTATAGCTCATCACAGGACAAACTCTATATTCAGCTTCCTGTTTATTGTGTGTTCATCACTATTTGACACACAGAGATTATCATTTTTCACTACTCCCACATCACATTCAAGTTATAATATTAAGTGTGTGTAATTTACACTCATTGGTCCGCATCCTCGTGAGGTTCTCACAATAGTGCCGTTATGCTAACCTAATTTAGTGCCGTCTCGCATTCTGAACAACATGTACTAGTTATCTCTAAGATTCGTGCCCCAACTATACACACTAAAAGACTCATTGATTGTGGTTTGTTTTACCATTTACTGACAACGACATAACTTGTCGTGTGCTCGTCACCTTTTGGTGTACAGTCGCGTAAAAGAGCCTTTGACTTGTGAAAGTGAGCTGTCTGCGTTCAGACTCACAAGATGGACAACGCATTTTTGATCATTGGCGATGTAGGACACATTAATAATATATGGATTCTCAAAACATGTGTGAATGAAATAACCAACAACTCCAAGGTCTGTTTTGATTGAGTCACAGCTGTGTGAAGTGCTTGCAGGAATCCTCATAAACTATGTCGGTAATGACTCAGTGGGTGACCCCAAACACATAAAGTAATTCATGATAGCCTTTGCTACCTAGTTGGCTCTCCAGAAGCCAGTACTACTCGATAGTTTGCCCGTTATGACAGTACTTTTCATAGTCGTACTTGTATACTCTCTGTAGTTTGAGTATCTCTGCTTGTATAGTATAGTGTTATTGTTATCTACTGCAGTTACTGTCAAATAGAATGCTATGACTAGGAGTTCCTTTATATTGATGTGTAGTGAGGTAGACCCAAAAACACTCAATGTTTGATAGTGGTGCTGACCACCAAGCTGTGGTTCTGCTGTCTGTCGCCTCATATCTTTAGTGTGAGACGGGCAAGACACTTCACTACTATCTGTAGTACTGCACTCTGTCACGGTCAGAGAGGGCTGTACACATTGTGTGTGAGTTCATGTTCCACACAGTTACCTGAGTAGAAGCACTTCGGTGAAAAGAAATGCAGTGCCCATATACCAATATTATCATGCTCTCGCCACACTCGGAGACATGATGTAAGGCTAACACCTAGCATTTTAGCCGCTCCGCAATCCCCGGTTAACTAACCCAACTCAGTTGTTGACCAAGTGAACGTGTGGTGAGGAGACACAATCACTGTGTCACTGTAAACTTGTTAACAAATCTTTGTTCATAAGAAGCCACAAAAGTGTTATTATGACCTGAGAGTTTTTCAAATCATGTTATAAATGTAGTATCCTCATCACAAACTTCACTTAAAAAGATGTTGTTGTTTCTAGTTGTTGTATTCACCATATGTTTAACAATGAACGGCAACTAACCACACACATTTTTTTCATTATTAAACTCCACACACCTCACTGAATTCATTTGGATAATTTCACCTGGAATTTGTCGGTCTCTACTTAACGGATGAGCTGGCAAACAATAAGTAGTCATGTTAATCTCTCAACTTGAATGTCTAATCACATAATTGACCTAATCACAAGGTTATAACACATAGAATGCATCGTCATAAGCTTTGTTTGAGGATGTATAAGCTACTCTGCTGTGTGAGAAGCTCATAAATCACCTAATAAAATTGCTTCAAATGTGGTCGCGTACTATCTGATACCACATCTAGAATATCACTTCATATGCGAGGTTTAGACATACCTATGATTCTGTTTTGTTGATGCCCTCTTTTGAATTTCTGAGGGGTCCTTTACGAGGCGTGGCTGGACCGCCGTGTATCGAACCATAAATAACATGCCTTAAACAGCTGTATAGCA